AGGATGCAGGTTTTCACTCACAGCAATTATGAGATAATAAATCCAGTTGTCTTAAGGCGGCTCAGTACTGGGTTGATTTGTTACACAGCAATAAATAGCTAATGCAGCAAGATTTTGGCAGACTCCATGAGAGGAAGGAGACCGGGATAGAGGGGACTTGTTCGAATATGGAATCTGAGACTCTGAAACAAAGTTCAAATTTTTCCGGGATGGAAAATACTTAAAGTCATGTCACAGCTCTATGTTGAGCTGTGGCTTTGGGATGAGTCTGTCACTCTTATTAAACATTTACTGCATATTTAGTTCAAGTATGGTTCCCCATGAGATCTTGAAGATACAAAGAAGCAAGCCCGATGTAGTGGACATCAACTCTTTTCATCTGCTCAGTAACCATTTTTGTTCCTTTAGCTTCAGCAGGCTGACTTTTCCTGAAAAAACCACCTCGATCGCTCCTAGACCATTTGCTGTGGGTAGAACTGACCCCATCTAAGGTTACATCTGACAGTGAGGTTGCTAACTTGGTAGAATGTAAGCTTAGGGGTGTTGGTGGTCACCCTTATTCCTACTTGGGAAAACATCAGTCTGAATCATACCAAAAGGAAAACAAAGCTGACAGAAGCAAAGAAGTGCATCCCTGACAAACTCTCTCCAGCACCTTTCTCCAACTGCACTTGAACTGTAACTTTCAATTCTATTAACCAATAAATCCGTCTTTTCTTTCTTAACCTTATGCCTGTTTGAATTGGATTTCTGTAGCTTGCAGCTGAAATAATTCAGAATAATGCAATATGAACGTTGTGAAAACATAGGCATTTTAAAGAGCTAGTCCTGAAAGGAGGCTTTGAGATGGGCCTGGCCCAGCAGGAAGACAGGGTCCTAGGTAGGTTTCTAGGTTGCTAAGTCCTTTGGAGACAACACAGATATTTTTTTAAAAAGGCATGTCTCGTAATATGAGTCCTATGCATGACTCATGGTCTACCAAGACTCCCAGAGAAAATGAGCCAGAATATTAATAATGTTCATTCACTCAGCAAATATTTATTAAGTATTGACTATGTGCCAGGAACTATAGGGGGACTGGGGACACAATGACAAAACAAAGTGTCAGTGCTTGTGGACTGTGTGAGAATCAAGTCAGTTTGGGAAGGTAAATGAAAAATAAGTCTACCAGTGTTTGGTGAGGCTGCTAATGACAAGTACCAGAAGAGACCAAGCAAATAAAGGCTAGATAGTGATAATAGGGGCTAAGGAATGTGAGTGCCATTGTAGATACGGTGACCAGACGAAGGCTTATTGTAGTGTGAACATGCAAGCAGACACGTGAAGGAAATGGGGAGTGATCTGTGCAGATAGCTGGGGGAAATGTCTTTGGTTGGAATATACTATTTCGTATGTTCGGGGACAGCTACAGGGCCAGCGTGCCAGGGATAAGTGGGAAAGGAGGAGGGGGGAATAAGACGAGTTTAGGTGAGGTCAGATCACCTAGGGCGTGCAGGCCACTGTAAGGATGTGATCTTTTACACTGAGACCAATGGGCAACCAGAGGAGTGCCATGCTCTGACTTACTAGGCTCCCTCTGGCTGCCCTGTTGAGAAAGGACTGTCAGGGGACAGGAGCGGAAAGAGAAGACCAATATTAAAACTCTTGTAACAGTCTTGGCAGGAACTGACGGTGGCTACTAGGTGGGTTTGGATTCCAGACATATGTTGAAGATAGAAGCTGAAAGACTTGCTAACACATTGGGTACAGCACATAAGAAAAACTATGTTGTGTTAGGAAGAACGGAAGGGTAGGACAGAGAAGACTGGGAGATTCTGGGTTGGACCTGCTCAGTGTATGGTGCCTCTTAGAGGCTCAAGTGGTGGGTGGATGTGGAAGACCAGAGTACAAGGGAAGGTCTGGGGTGAAGATATGTATTTGGGAGACACAGTGGACAGCGGTAGTTAAAAGTAAGACCGGTTGAAATCACCTAGGGAGTAAATACAGACGGAGGAAAGAAGAGTTTCAACGGGTTCCTAAGATATTCCATCATTTGGAGACCGGGAAGAAGAGGAAGTTGCTGAAAAAGAAAAGTGAGAGAAAGTTCAAGCCACGGGTCTGTGTTACCCACTACAAAACAAAAGCATTAATCTTTGTGCTTCTGTTTTACCTAATATTATATCCCTTTCACTTAGTACAGTACTTTCTCATTAAATGGTAGAAAAGTCAGACTATAAGCACACAGAATCACTACAGCAGTTTTCTTAGTCAGAGATAAATTTTAATCAAGGCAAAGAGCACTGGCCTTAAAAAAGATACAGAGTTTCTATTGCAATGAATTGTGAATGCAGGTTGAAGGGCAGGTTCTGGGGAAATAGGCAAGTTTCAAGGAATCATGTGATGAGTCAAAACCGCAAAGGCAGGCAAACCTGAAATCAGGGGACACCCAGAACTAGGTTGGAGAAACAATGGGCCAGAAGTATACTAGATGAGGGTCTTGAATTTCTAAGACTCTGAAATAGAAGGTGGGAAGCCCAAATCCAGGTACTTGACAAATATCCAGAACATGAATAGGGCCATCAGTTGAACAGATGTGATAACCGAGTAATATCAATTAGTTCGTTGAATTACCCGTAGTATTTATGGGGTTTTATCTTCCTTTTTTCAGAAGATTTTCTTATCTTTCATTTGGAGAGAGAAACTAATTACTAAAACAGAACAAGTCAGTGGGTTTGTAGGTGGAGGTACTTGGAAGTCCTTGGATAGAGGGAAAACTGATGGGAGAGAAAAGTTTCCATCAACACTGACATTTGGTCAACCAAGCAGGATATTGCTGTTGTCATTCTCAGCTCTCTGATCCATATGGGACTGATACCCAGATTCCTAAAAGCACCTTTAAGGCAGCATCTGTGTCTTAATTTTTTCTGTACCTTCCTTGGTGCTTAGCAGTATGTTGATCTGCAAAGACCATGGACTTTGAGCCAGCTGATTTAAAAATTTGTTATGGTCTTGGACACCTTTTATTCTGCATTTTGGGGCCTCCTGTTCCTCCATGGAAATGGCAAATTTCAAAGCTTGGCCTTATCACTCATTCACCTAGAATGCCGATTTCCTTACCTATGAACAGGGGCAAAGCCCACTGTAAAGAAGAACACCACCAACAAGCAGAACTAACATGACAGAGTGCCTTCAATGTGTCAGGTGCTGCACTGATGCCTCGTTTTATACTCTTTGTCTCTTTGTTTTTACAGATGGAGAAATGGAGACTTAACAGAGTTAAGTGATTTGTCAAAGTTCACACAGCTAGTGAATAAGAAACCATCAATTCAAACCTAGGGCTTTTTGATGGCATCCTGACAGTGTCAGAGGCATGTGGGGTGGGGTGTAGGTAAGGGCTAGGTGAAGTGGGGCTAAAGCAACATGGGTTTGAATGATCGGCTACTTGGCCGTGGGGACCATAGTAGGTATTGAGCAAAACTGATGGCAGTGCTGATGGGAACACATCTCATGAATGTGTAACAAGTCTTCCACCTTGGTGTAGATTATCTGCCTATCAAAAGAAATGTCCTGATGACTCAGATGGGTCGGGGTAATTAGGCTATGGTGTTCTTTCTGTGATCAACAGCCTCAGTCCCCTAGGGAAGGAAGGTGGGAAACACCCACCTAATGAGCATATGTTAAGCTAAGTGGCCACTGAGTGAGGTGCTTCCCATGGGTGATTTTTGGTATCTTACTAGAACAATCCACTAGGGTAGGTATTTAGTCCCCCTATGTTACAGATGAAGAAACTTAGACTCAGGTGAGTGGCCAATCTTGTCCAGTATGAAAAGGGACGATGCCTGTTTGTTTGTTTGTTCCAGATTCTGCTTGATTCCGAAGCTCATGCTCTCTCTCATATTCCTGGGGAAAAGGTCTTCTTTAAACCAGTACAAAACCAGATGTGTGTTTTCTTGCCACTTTAATCTCTTCTGTAATAGCTTCCCTTTTCCTCTCCAATTGTCCCAAACAGTTCTGGGGAACACGTGAGTAGTGCAGGCCAATATGTCTTTCCTTACCTTCTGTTTCCTCTCCTCTCTGAGTCTCTTAAGCACATTTGAAACTTGTCCTCATTCCCGTCCCCCAAAGTGAAAGTTGCTGTCTTTTGGTTAACTCAGAACTGCAGGGATAAATTCTTGGGAAAGTCATGTGCTTTTTATTATTATGTTGTTTATTCATGTACTTGAAACACATTTATATTGTTAGGCTATTCATGGAATAAAGCATTCAGATGAAAAAACAAACCAGTGAGTTTGGAAGTCATCTTGAAGAAACAAAGAGAAATCTCCTAAGGAGGAGCACATTTAACTTTTCTGGTCTCCTTTCCTAATTCAGCAACCCTGTTGACCATTGCTTTCAGCTGAAAGGATTCCCATTGTCTCCCTGTGAAAGTCATCATGGAGGAAACTGCGAGTTTGCTGTCAGCATTACGAAGGAAACTAGGTCCTCAGAACTTACTGGAATCACATGCAAAGCAAACAAAGTCAGTGTCAATAGCGCCTCCAGCTTTCCATTTCAAAGTTCTCATTGGGAGTGTATATTTTTATGGAGGGTGATAGTGGAGAATTAGTACCCACTAAGTACTGTGATCAAGCACTCTGCAGTCTAGCTTTGCAAAGTGTGGTTCTGGCACTGGTCGCACTGGTGTAGTTGGGAGCTGGTTAGGAATGTATAATTTCAGATCCTGCCATAACTCTACTCAATCATAATCCACATTTTCACAAGATTCCTGGGCAACATTCCATGCACATTAAAGTTTGAAAGACAATGCCATCCTAGGCACTTATTTATACATTTCTCACCTTTAGGGAAGAGGTATTCATGTCAGGGTTGCTTAAATGAGAAAACACAAGTTCAAGGTGGGTAAGTAACTTGGCCAAATCCTCAGCTAGTTTGTGTCAGGGCCATATGTGAATGCTGTTTTGTCTGACTTCAATGCTTGTCTATTTTCTACTCTCTCATATTACCTTCATTTTTTCCTAAAGCTTAGGTTGCAATGTGCTGGTTTCGTCTCAACGAGAGGAAACATGAGACCTGAATTTCCACGAGGGGAGACTCAGTGAAGCTAGAATGCAGGCCCCAAAAATGGTGGACCAGGGGAACCAACAAGCAAGTCAAATGAAGACAGGCTGTCACAGGTGAGGATGAGAAGGTCATGACCTTGATGATCTGGACTGTTCCCTGTGTATACTCCGACCACAGTACTGTGCCCTGGAAATCTATTTGTGCCTCATGGAAACTCATAGCCATGTCTAGCCTTTCCTTTCCTCCCCAGCCTTTGAATAAGTGCTAGAAAAGTCAGAATTCTTTTCCCCTTCTAAGTTTTCTAAATTAAAGTTTATAAAGAGTGACCTTGAGGGCTTAATTCAACCCACAGATGGGCGTTATTAGGCCTACATGATGTTGGCCCAGATAATGTTTTAAAATTCTTCTAAAAACTCAACTACCTGCCAACATATTTAAAAACGTTTCATTAAAGTATAATATATACAGAAAAGTACACATTTAAGTGCCCAGCTAGATGAATGTTCATAAAGAACACGCCTATGTAATTAGCAGCAACATCAAGAAATAGAACATTACCAGCACCCCAAAGTTCAACTTGTACTTTTTGCATAAGGGTAACCAATATAATGACTTACAGTTGCATTGGTTAGTTTACTTGACAATATTCAAAACTTAGAAATCTCTGGCTTCTCCTGAAAAACTGAATCATCTAGCAACATTGGGCTCATGGTCTCACAGGGTAACAATCAGCTGGAGATGAGCAGGGACCACTCTCTTTATTTTTGTTTGTTTATTTTAATGTTTATTTATATGAGAAAGAGAGAGAGAGAGAGAGAGAGAGGGAGAGAGAGAGAGAGAGAGAGAGAATCTTCGTGATAAAAGCACAGATCCTGATGTAGGGCTGAAACCCACAAACTGTGAGATTATGACCTGAGCTGAAATCAACAGTTGGACACTTAACCAGCTGAGTGGCCAAGGTGCTTGGGACCACTCTGTTTAATCACGCATGCCGTCTTTAGTTTTCCACAGTCCCCACCACTCCCTACTATTCAACACTTAGAGCTAGTGGCAATGGCCTTTAATCAACACACTTATAGTCAACAGTAGAATTAAGAATTAAAACAGAATTATGTAAAATTATGTCTTATATTCTCTTGCTTCCCTCCTTTACATTATATGCCAGACTTCTATGGGCATTTGAATTTGAGATTGCTGCTCTAAGCCTGAAGATTCCCCACGTCAACCTCAGAGAATATCTCAAATATTTCTTTTTTTATGTTTATATATTTATTTTGAAAGAGAGAGCATGAGCATGACTGGGGGAGGGGCAGAGAGAGAAGGGGAGAAAGAGAATACTAAGCAGCCTCTGTGCTGTCAGCACAGAGCCTGATGCCGGGCTTGAACTCACAAACTGTGAGATCATGACTTGAGCCGGTATTAAGAATCAGACACTTAACTGACTGAGCCACCCAGGCGCCCTCACATATTTCTTAAGAATGTTATGACAATCCTTTGTTACCCTCACAATTGACTTTGGGGGTGCTAACTAAATGGTCAAGTATCCTTGTTAAATTTAGTGCAAAGGGAAGGAGATTCAGTTTCTTAACAGATTTTCTTTCTTTTCCTCTGTTTGGCATAGGTAGGTGTTTTTGTAGGGGTTTGGGCCTAGTACAACCAAACACAGCCCGGGCAGGTTGGCAGGAATGACCACATCCACACCTAAGTTCTGAGGGTAGCTCTTCTGCCCTGAACTAGTCATTGCCTCCTGCATAACTTCCTTCCAGTTTCTAAGCTGGAGAAAAAATTTTCTCACAGAATAGGTGTTGCCCTGGAAAAGAGGAAGAGAAAGAAAAGTAAACAAGGAACTGGGTAGGAGCCTTCCATATAAGGAAAGAATAAAAATAACGTAACAGTTGTATCATTTCCAAATTCAAAGTGTGGGCTGTGAGGACAGCAAAGCCAACGCCAGGGTGAACATGTAACCCTTTTCCCAAGGCCTTAAGTCTATCCTCTGTTGAGGGGAGCCCCATCATAACCGAAGAAGACCACTCTAATTTCAATGAAAGAAAGTGCCATGTTCCCTGCCACATAACACAGGTATGAAATAATCCCCTGAGGTGGTAACAATTTGAAAATAAGTTAAAAAAAATTTTTGATGAATGATTCTAGGCTAATAAGGGGAAGTTACAGGCCGAAGTTTTCAGCCTTGAAGTTGTTGTCAATGAGGAGAGACTTTCCCTTCCTTAAAGTTTCCATGTACTAAGCTTACATTTGGACCTGGATATCTTCCTCCAATGGCAGTGGAAAAACTGGATATCCATTTGCAAAATAAGAAAAATTCGATCCTTATCTTACACAACAGACAAAAGCCAACTCAAAAAGGCTTACAGATTTAAACATAGGACTTGAAACTGTAAAACGACTAGAAGAAAATATATGGGAAAAGCTTCATGAAACTGATCTTGGCAATGGTGTTTTGGCCATGACACCAAAAACACAAGCCACAAAAGCAAAAATAGACAAGTGAGAGTAGATCAAACAAAAGGTGTTGATGGAAACAATTAGAGTGAAAAAGCAACCTGTAGAAGGGAAAAAATATTAGCAAACCATAGATCCGACAAGGAGTTAATATCCAAAATATATAAAGATCTCAACTCATTACGGAGAAAACAAATATGGTGATTAAAAAATGAGCAAAAGAAGTGAAGAGACACTTCTCCAAAGAAGACCTACAAATGGCCAAGAAGCAAAAGGAAAGGTGTTCAACATTACCAAGCATTAGGAAAATGCAAAGCAAAGCCACAGTGAGACATCACCTCATTCCTGCTAGGAAGGCTATTATTTTAAATATGTATATTATAAACACACACACACACACACACACACACACACACACACACACACACACAGAGAGAGAGAAATATTATACACCCTTAAAAAAGGATATCCTTTCATATGCAACAGCATGGCTGAACTTTGAGGACATTGTGCTAAGTAAAGTAAGTACATCACAGGACCAATATTGCATGATACTATTTATCCAAGGAATACAAAGTAGTGAAATGCAGAGAGTGGAATTGTTCTTTCCAAGGGCTGGGGGAGGGGGAATGGAGAGCTGCTCTTCAACTGTTTTAAACTTTCACTTATGCAAGATGATTAAGTTCTAGAGACCTGCATTGTGTTTACTGACAATACTGTACACTTTAAAATCCGTGACAAAGGTAGATCTCATGTTAAGTGTTCTTTGCACAATTAAAAAAAAATGGGGGCTGGATATGCCATTTGTTCTTAAGAAAACTGAAAATCAATTCCCTGAGGACAGCAAACATCCCTTTAGGCTCTGAAATATGCTAATCAGTCTGTGTATGACTCCATAATGACAGAAACCATAGCTCACATAATTTCAAAATGGACACTGTGAGGTCAACAGTATGAGATTTTAGATGTTATGGATGAGGAAATTGAGGCAGAGAGAAGTAAGGCGTCAAAGTTGCCAAACTGGTCCTCTCCAGCATATTGGCTAATCCCAACACCCTCTGCTTTTAAAAACCATGCGGATTGCTTCATCACCATGAAAACATGGTTTTAGAGTTGATCTCTCACGCCAGCTCCCCTCCCCCAACGTTCAACCTGGGATGATAAAGAGACAGAGATTGAGTGTCAACTGGGTGAGCGCTTATCCTGGCTTGGGTTCTTCTTTGTCAAACGCCATCACGTGAAAAGTATGAGGTGTTGTCACAGGAATAATTGGCCACCCAGGAAGGAGAAGAAAAGCTGTTGTCTTGCTTCCAGGAGTGCAGGATAGGCTCTTCTGGATTCTCCTGGAAACTCCTTAGCAGGAAGTGTCTTTGGCACATTTTCTATTCCAGAAAGATTGCTGCTAAAATTATCTGCGTTAGGAATGTGACAGAGTTCTGGCCACCGAGAATTTGGTATGGAAATAAACAGCAGAGTTGATTATCTCTATTCAAACTTAAATAAAACCGTATGAAGGGTTCAGCCAACCCTCCCCCACCAGCCCCACCTCATCTCTGTGTTTTTTGGAACATCTATTACAACAGGGCTTTTTCTTTTTCCTTTTCTGTCTCCTCCTCCCCCCACATCACAGCCCGTTACTCCCAGCTGTGTGCTGCAAATCAGCATACACTTGCAAGTCTTTCCCAAGTGTCTAGAGGCTAGAGGAACCCCAAACATATTGCCACCAAACCTCCTTCTTCTGAAATTTTCAGTGTGTATAAATTCAGAAATGTAATCAGCACGATTAGGACTCAGCTGTGCGTTGCTCATTCAAGTTCTATGCTGCAAGAGCCGTTTGATGTCAAGTAGAATTTTTTAGTCTTCTCCCCTCTTCCACCCCAAGTCTTTTATCCTAAAACCAGGAAGTCACATTTGGCCAGCCGACTATGAACTGTAACCACAAAAAGTTGGACATCGGTTCAAAGCTCAGGACTCATGAGAGGCCTGAATATGTTTTAACCTTGGTGGAAGGCATTCCGCAGTCATTCGGGCTCAATGCACCTCCACAACGGCTGATGCGGGCAGCGGTGTTACTGGTGACATGGTTGGTAGGATGTTCTCACAGGCTGAGGAATGTGTGAGGGAAGCAGCCTTGCTCTGGGAGGGGCTGTACAGGACTGGAAGAGGAGTTAGTTTCATTTTCCACTCAGATGCAGCGGTGGAAAGAATCAGTCAGGAACCTCTCCTTCTTTCTTGGCTGTCTCTCCCTGAGCTCAGATGTAAAAACAAGGGTCGCTGTTCATCCTCTTACACTGGGGGAAGGAAACCTAAGCCATGCGAAGTGTTCACTAAAAACACTCACTTAGTGGTGGATTTTCCCTCCTTAGCCCCGTCTCCTTCTATTTCACCCTCCTTGGCCCTCAATCTTTATCCTTCTACAATACAGTGTACCTTGAATTCCCTGGGCACACTTGTGGCTTTTTTGTCTTCCTTGGTGCTTTTGTACATGATATGCCTCTTCAAGGACTTTTCCTCCTCCCTTTGAGTCTTCCTGAAAGCACCTTGATACCCCTCAGACTACTCTTGGAGTATTATCTCTTGTGTAAAGGCTTGCATTAAAAGAATCTCTATCTCTACCTCTATCTCTATCTCTATCTCTGTCTCTGTCTCTCTATCATTCCATCTTCTTTGACACCACTGGGAAGACCTCATCACTCCCATGTTTCACCTTCCTGTTTTGCATATTGATACGGATAGTGCTTTTTAAAATGATTATTAACTTCTATGAGTCTGGTTAGCCTTCCAGACCACTGTGGTCCAATAGACCTTTCTGTAGTGATGGACATGTTCTACACCTGCGTTATACGGTATGGTAACTACTGGTCACATATGGCTGTCAAGCACTTGAAATGTGGCTGGTGCCCTCGAGGAACTGAATTTTTAATTTTACTTAATTTTACTTAATTTAAATGTAAATAGTTGCACATGGTTAGTGGATACTATATTGGACAGCACACTGTAGACTGTGATCTTCTTGAGGATAAAACTAATGTATTACTAATTCCTTGTTGTAAGGGCTCAGTAAACATTTACTGAATTCAGTTATTGTAGATACTTATGACAATAGTTCTGTTAGGCAGGTATTACTAGCTCTAGTAATTTCATCTTCATACACAAAAGCAAAACAAAACAGAACAACAGCAAAATGTGGTTCAGTGAAGTTAAGTGATCCAGCCAGGATCGGAACCACAATCTATTTAAAATACCGCCCCCCCCCCCCCCATTTTTTCTGCTTCCATTGGCAGGGCTTTGGTAGTTGGTGAGTAAAGTTGTATGTAAGTGGGTGCATATACAAGATAGGAGGAAGCAACATTTTATAGAACAGTTAATTGTCTCCATACAATTAGACATGCAAAGACTTGCCTGGAAATCTCTGGAAGGAAAATCAATGGAAGGAAAGAAAAAAGGAAAATAAAAGCAAGCTAGCACACTGCTCATGCATCTTTAGTTCCATGCACACATTTAAAGGATATATTGGCTAAATATATCTCTTTTAAAGGAGGGGTGTATCATAAAAGAAAGTTTACAACAGCCAACAAATTGGGCAGCTGGTCTGCAATCTGTGATTGTTAACTTTCAAACGCTGATAACCTCGGAGTTGGCAGTTAAAGATCAAAATGGTGGAGGTAATGCTGCCATCTACTGGTAATCATGCAAAGTTGGCTGGTATTTCAAGATGTGAACAAATATTCCAGATGCAGTAATCATAGTTACCTATTCTTTGAATTTATGACTTAGCCTTATACATTAAAAACAACTTCAAAACTATTTTAAATTTGGAGAAAAAATTACCATCCTTCAAATTTTCTTCCTTCCTTCCTTCCTTCCTTCCTTCCTTCCTTCCTTCCTTCCCCTCTCCTCTCCTCTCCTCTCCTCTCCTCTCCTCCCCTCCCCTCCCCTCCCCTCCCCTCTCCCCTGCCCTCTCCTCTCCTCTCTCCTTTCTCCTTTCTCCTTTTGCAAATATATATAGCGACCTGGAGTTTTCAGGTCCTCCTCCCCTCCTCATTTAGCCGAATTGCCAGTTGAAACAATCTGATAATAGTTTCAGTTGGCTTTTCTTTGATTCATGTTCTAGCTCCAGACAAATGATTGTATCAGGCTGCATTCTGATGGGACTACACATAATCAGAATTTTTCTCAGCATCAAATCTGTTTCTAGATCAGTGATGAAGGCTGTACCTGAAGATATGCTGTTAGGACAAACTTTGGGATTTGGTGATAGCATTGAGGGTACTCCCAACTGAAAAAATATTAAAGTTCCAGTTTTGACCAAATGGGATAGACTAACCAATACTCTTTGCCAGAAACCAGAACTCATGCTGCCATTTTGATTAGCCATAAAATCCCAAGAGGCAATATGGGACATGGGATTTTGACATTCTATCAGTTGGATTCTTAGCAGAGGGATCAAGACTTTATCTGACGATTTTATAGTAAGAGTCACCCTGTCCCTACATGTTTAAGCAGTTGGAAGTAAGGGAAGCAATATGAGCCTGGGGAAATAGATGAAGAAGGGAAAAGAAGCACTTATACTGTTAGATTGTATGCACGCATATGAATTTCAATGGACTTGTGGTGACTGATGATAAGTAGACCATCATCTTATCTCTCCCATCTAGGACATGGCTGCCTAGGTGTGTCATTGCTCAACCTTTGAGCACCTAATTAGTCTTTGTTTTAAGCAACATCTTGGATGTACTCTGAGAGATGAGTGACATTGACACATATTCATGAATTCATTGATTTAGTTATCCATTCAACAAATATTGAACACATACTAATTGATATATTTATAGGGACACAAAACAGAATGAGAAGTGGTCCTTATCTTCAAAAGATACATTGCTTTCTCTTATGTATATTGCATATACTGTGTGCTAGGTACTATGTTAAATGTTTTATAACTATTAAATTAGTTACTCATTTGTTCAACAAAGTTTACTCAGGACCTACTCTGTGTTAGGCATTGTGCTGAGTGCAAAGACGAAATGATACACAAGTTGGATATGGTTCCTGGCCTTAGAGATATTGGTGCCTTTTGGGTAAGGAAGAAAATTAAACAAAGAAACACAGTGTGTTTAACTTGTGCAATTCATTTTGGCCGCTCAGCATTTGATTTTCTTTCTACATGAAGAAATGCCTTATCAGTGTGGATGGAGCAAAGACCTCTAACTATAAAAGCTAAAAATGCTGGGTATTTTTTCCCAGCACCACTTGCAGCTACGTTACAGGCATGTCACCCAAGTTTTGCCAAGCAGACAACACCTTGCTAGAATTTGAATAGGTTCTGCCTCAAGGAAGAGACAGGGCACTTTATTTCTCTGGTGGTGGTTGTGATGGTGTTAACATTGTCCGCATCAAAATCTCTCAGGAACATAATTTTAGCTAGTTTTATTTATTTATTTGTTTCTTTCCACTTCCTTTATGCCAAATTCACCGGCCTTCCAGTGATGCCTGAGCTTCTTATTAGTCTTGTAACAATTCCTTTTCTTTTTGGTCAGTGTGAATCACCTCCTGTTGTGTGGAACCAGGTACTCTGACAATATCCACTGTGACATGGGAAGGACAGACATCATCGATGGTATCATCAATGTACAGAGATTACTGCCCTACTAAAGCAATGGACAACAACACTTGCATCTTAAAGACAAGTAGGAATTATCTGGGGTAAAGGTATCAGAGGAAGGAGCCGGAAAATGGATAACAGGCAGAGGAAACAGCACATTTGAAAGCCCAAGGCACTGCTCTGAGGTAGGAATTCTTAGGCCTATTTTTACATTTGAGAAAACTGAGGCTAGCAAGCAGTAAATCCAGGGCTGACTGTAAAGTTCAACCACTGTGGCTCTCTTCTAGTTGAAGCCTGGAAATATATTTACACCAGTGGATTCCAGTACTAATTTTTAAAGAACTTTTTATTTTGGAGTGTCTGTGTACAGGAAAGTGGCCAACCCCTAAAGGTACAGCTTAGTAAGTAATCACAGGGCATTCATTTAACTATGACTGATCAAGGATTTAGAACACTGGACAGCCCAGAAGATTTCCATCTGGCCCTTTCTAATCAATACCCTTCTTTCCTCTCTAGAGGTAATTGCCATACTGACTTCTAACACCATGGTCATCATACCTGGCTTTCGACTTTGAATAAATGAAGAAAATATCATATTATTTCATGTGTCCTCCCTAACTCAATATGAGGATCCTAAATTTCATGTATGTCTTTGTAGCTTGTTCATTTACATTGCTGTATAGTATCAATTGCATAGATTCATTTATCCTTTAGAGTTGATGGGCATTTGATGATTTTCAGATTATGTTATGGCCATTACAAATCATGTTGCTAAAGACATTCTCATTCATGTTTCTTCTTGGGTAAATGAATTTGTTGAAAATATACCTAAAAGTAAAACTGCAGACCACAGAGTGTGTTGTATGTTGAGCTTTAGTGGATAATACCAAACAGTTTTCTGAAATTGTTAAGGCAATGTAACTTTCCATGTGCACTTTCCATTTGAAAGTTCCAGTTCCTCCATGCTCTGCAATGTGTACGGTTAATCTTTTTTAACTTTAGCCATTCTGGTGGGTGTAGTGCTATACCACTGTGATTTTAATTTGCATTTCCCTGAAGACTTATGACTTTGAGTAATTTTTCATACGTTTATTGGCCAGAACCTCAGGGCTATTTATCAGACGGCCACTTCCTGGCATGTATTTTAGGGTAAAGTGCCTTATGGATGAATCCATATGATTTCCAAAGATAGTGCAGTCTTTTTTTTTCTATTCGCCATGGTCATGGTTTTAATTATTTCTCTTAAGATAGATACCTTCTAGATTTGTGGGGCTCTGTTCTTTCTCAGGAAGTGACTCTCTTGGGGCTAACTTTCTATATGTAGAGTTGGTTCAGTAACTGTTGAAATTCAAGGACAGACTGAGGAAAAAGCCACTGAGGCCCTTGACTGGGTCACTAATGGTCTCTTGAATGTTGTTTGGCAAACACTGGCCTCAACAATATTTGTATTTTCCCACACGTTCACTGGGCAAAAGTCTCAATGGACATGTTACTGTGAATTTACGATTCTCTTTGAGGGGTTTTGGTTAGTTCTGTAATAAAAATTCCGGCATATGGAGACATACGTCTGGTTCCCACACATTTAAGGCTAGAGAGAGCATAGCTACATTTTCTTAAGGTCAGCTTACTGATGTCTCCAAAGATAAAAGGCACCTTCTGATTGAAGGCTTGCTCTGAAAATATTTTTGGCAAAGGATTTCCAAGTTCCATTCTCCTGGGATGATCAAATTGAGTTCTGTTTTGTCTGTTGTTTTGAAAAACTCACTTTGGCAGGGAAAAGGGTTTATTGCAGGCCCCTCTGCTTTGATTTTAAGATTTTATAATTAGAGGAAAGAAGAAGACAATTGTAATCAATGAAAACAATTCACTCAGAAGATGGAGTCGGGTACACACATATAAAAGAAGCCAATAACAGAAATTACAGCTTTGCTCTTGGGTTTTGCGAAAGGTTTCTTACACTTAGAGGTTTTTAGTCAGGTTAAGTCCATAACCTCTACTATTTTTAGCTTTAAACCATAAGATACTGATATGATTCTAGCCTCTTGTGCCAATGTCATGATGTCCCCAATCTCTCAAAGATATGGACATTAACTATTCACAAGATTTTGAACAAAGCCCCTTTCTATTAGTCAGGATTTTGTTTGTAAGCAACAAGCCCTAACTATAGTTATCCTAACAATGGGAGAATTCATCTAAGGAATATCAGAGGCTTACAGACTTAGCAGGAAGCTGTGAACTAGACTTGGAACATGGACTAGATTCTAGAAAGCTGCAGAGAGTTGAGTATCAAAGATCATAGCAATGGTCACATGGTAGAAAGGTCAGTTTGTCATGATGCTGGGCCCACTGAAGTCTCTCTCCTGGAAAATACATTTCAAATAGCAACACACAAAGGATGGGTGTTGGAGTTGATTCATCTCATTGCGGGAATTGTGTGAATAAATTCTCTTTGATTTCTACTCTCCAAAAGCTGGAACTGTCCTGATTCCTGTCTTTCCCTGTGCACTATTGTCCATCTCTTCCATGTACATGGTGAATTACCAAATATTCTTCCAGTCAGTGATTTCAATGGCTGTTGGTGAGAGTTTTCTCTTACTTGAAACCAAAATCTCTAACAGACACTAATGATGGTAGATGTGGCCCAGGCTTGTGTTCTGCTTTGAGAAGGATGAGAGAGAAGATGCCTCCCTACTTTTAGTGAAACCAGAAGGCTCATGCGGTCTAAGGACAGGTCCTGCAAATGGTCTCCTTTATATCTTCATATGAATCACTCCTTGTAGTCACACACAAAGGCCCTGCAGAACAGGGTGATTTGAGCACGGTGGGCCCTCTAAAGATAGTTTAGGCCATCAATTATCGGTTTTGCAACTGGGGTCTCAGCATTCCAGGGATTCTCAGTAAGTGTTTAAATGCCTAGTGGGACAATGAGAAAGGGGTTTCCTCTACCACTACATTTATTCAGAGTCCTTATACTATTATCATTTTATATATTGGGATTCTAAGATTTTCCTTTAATAAATCCTTTGCATTTCAAAAGCACTGCAGTGAACTGTCATTATCCATTAACACTTCATTTTAATTCATTTATTAGTTTATTGTAAGAAGAGGAAATGATACTTACTGGGTTCTGACTGAATTGCAAGCATTGGACCAATTCTTCACCTATGTAATCCCATTTCATTCCTTACTATCATGAAAGTCAGCTCACCTGTTGGCCAATCATTCATTAATCACATTTATCATGAAATTCTTCTCTTACAAATTTGGCCCTAAGTTTGTCTGTTTTATTAGCTTCTTAAGGGGCTGGAGTTAGACTGAGTTGATCCTCATTAGTATTTGTTTATTAAAAAACTTTGCTTAAGTTTTGCTCTTATGTTTATTGTTTCCTTCCACCTGCTTGATTTTCTCTGTTATTCTTTTTCAGGTTTTTGAGGTGAACATGTAGCTCTTTGGTTTTTAATTTTTCTCTTCCTTCATATATGTTTTTAAGGTAATACATTTTCCTTCAAGGAGAGCTTTTACTCTGTTACACATCTGGGGTTTTGGGTCAGTTCTTTCTGTTTTTCTTTTTTTGTTTATTTTTGAGCGAGAAAGAGAGACAGAGTGTGAGTGGGAGAGAAGAGAGAGAGGGAGACACAGAATCCAAAGCAGGCTCCAGGCTCCGAGCTGTCAGCACAGAGCCGGATGCGGGGCTCGAACCCATGAGCCATGAGATCATGACATGAGCCGAAGTTGGAAGCTCAACCGACTGAGCCACCTGGGCACCCCTTGGGTCAGTTATTTTTAAAAAAATTCTTTTGCTTTCTTTTTTGCTAAATGCTAACAGAAGAATGTTTTACAATTTCTGAATGTATTTGCGGCCATGGCTATCCTATTTTCTTGAGTTCTAATTTTATTATACTCTTGTCAGAGAACACAGTCCGTATGACATAGATATTTTATATTTGCTCCTTTGTTATCTGTAGGACTTAGATTCTGTAATATTTGTTGCCTCCTATAAGTTGAATGTTTGAAAATCTATGTTGCACATACATTTGAAGAGAAACAAAAGTAATATTGTAGGTTGGAGTTCTAAATAGGAATTACATCAAACTTGTTAATTATGTTCATAGCATTTATATCCTTAGTTGGGGCATAAGTATTTACAATTGTTAGATCTTCTTGAGTGATAGAGCCTTTAATTATGATATGATGCTCTTCTTGATGTCTTATTACAGCCTTTGTTTTAAAATCTAGTTTGTCTGATATAAGTATGGCTACTCCAGCTTTCTTTTGACCTCCATTAGTATAACAGATCGTTCTGCAGCCCCTCACATTTAATCTGCAGGTGACTTTAGGTCTCAAATGAGTCTCTTATAGGCAACATATAAATGAATCTTTTTTTTTTAACCATTCTGATAATCTCTCTCTTTTGATTGGAACATTTAGTCCATTTACATTCAGTGATTATTGAAAGAAATGAATTTAGTGCTATTGTGTTACCTGTAGAGTTGGTGTTTCCTTATTAATTTTCAGCTCTTCAGAGAGTGCTTTCTGAGCCAGATGTGTTACATCTCCCTTAGTGATTGTAGACGTTTTTTTTTTTTTTTTTTTTTTTTTAGTTCTATTAACCTTTGACTTATATTCTGGAATTCTGTTAGCCATGTATAGGCTCAGAATAGTTCCATCTTCCTTTTACCATTACATAACATCCTTGTCTCTTACTGATTCTTTCATCCTTGTCTATATCATGTGATATTCATATTTTCTACAAGAGCTGGTTTTGATTAATGTTGGCTTTCTATTTATATATTCCTTTAGTTTCAAATTTTCTACACCATTATATTTTACACACATCATTTGTAAGCTATGAAATTTGTTTTATTTTTACCTACATCTGAGAACCTGTGCAGGGAAACTGGCAAATTGTATTCATCTTTTTAAATGTGATTACTAATAAATTGGGATTTATTGTTACTACCTTTCTTTGAGCTTTTTCTTTGCCATAATTTTTTTTTTCTTTCCTTGCTTCTATAAAACTGGTTGAGAGTATATAGGTTCATAGCAGAGATGGGATTTATTCTTTAAAGCATTTTTTAAATGTTTCTTTACTTGTGAGAGAGAGACAGACAGGCAGACAGAGTGTGAGCAGGGAAGGGCAGAGAGAGAGGGAGACACCGAATCTGAAACTGGCTCCAGGCTCTGAGCTATCAGCACAGAGCCCGATGCGGGGCTCGAACTCACGAACCGCAAGATCATGACCTGAGCCGAAGTCAGACGCTTAACTGACTGAACCACCCAGGTGCCCTGGGATTTATTCTTTATAGTGCTGGGAGTAGAGGTCCCCTAACGGGAGTGAGTGCCAGGCCATATGGTAGGGACAGTCACAAGTGGCTCCTCTCCAGTGGCTCTTGTATTCTGCCACACAAACTTTTCAAGCTTCCACAGAAGGATTATTTTCTTTAGTTGTATCTTCATTCATTCATTCATTCATTAATTCATTCATTCAACTAATATTGACAGAGGGCCTGATAAGCACTAGGTTTTGTATGAGGTGCTTAAGGACACGTGTTGAATACATGTGGTTTCTACAGTCTAGGAGGGGAGCCATTCAATGCATTTACAGATATAAAAGTACAAATTTTATTGTGAGCTGTAAAGGAAATAATTTGTGTGCAGTGAGAGAAAACAATAGAATGGGGTTTACTCCAACCTAGTAGCTAGGTTATTTGAAAGGATGAAATTAAAGAAGAGGTAGAGTGGGAGATGTGGCAGGGTCTGAAGATTACTCCCAGTATGAATTCCTTCATTCTTCCTTACCAATATAATCCGAGTTTAGGTAGACAGACCACTCAGAGCAAACCTACCTGAGAGTCTTCCTTGAAGTTGGGTGTGACCATGTGAGAAACATTCTGGTCAAAGGGGAGCAAATGGAAGTGGTATGCCTGACTTCTGGCAAGTGTCCTTAAGGGGAAGGTCATGACCTTTTCCTTTCTCTCCTTCTAGGTGCGTGGAATGAAGCGATGACAGCTGGAACCAGAGGAGAGCTCCTGAATCATGATGTGAACTTGAGAACAGAGGCCCAGAAAGGTGACGTCACAAGAAAGACAGTAGGAGTAGGAGTTCTGGAACAGTAGAATCCTGTTCCAGCCCCATTTTATCCACGAAGATTTTTGCATGAAAAAGAAATACATTTCTACATTTTAAACCTTTGCTATTTTGGTTTCTGGTAAACTCTCTGCTGAAAGCATAGAGGATTTCAGGCCCAAGGGAACAGAATTCTTTCGAGTAGTGACTCTCAGACTTTAGCACTTAAAAAAAAGAAAAAAAAAGAAAGCACATGGAGAGCTTGTTAGAACACAAACTTCTGGGTCCTATCCCCAGAAATTCTGATGTTGTGTATCAGCCATAAAATCTGAGAATATGAATTTCATATAACCTCCCAAATGATACAGAAGACCCTTGGACCACACAGTGTTCTAGAGCTCTGAGTCAGAAAAGAGTTCAGCACATTTAAGGAACTGAATCAAGGCTAGCTTTAGAGAACGGTGGGAGGCATGGACGAAGGTTGGAAAGGTAGGTAGATGTCCACATTATGCAAAGCTTTGTAGTCCAGAAAGGGAATGATTTTCTTCTAAGTTAAGTGGGTATCTACTGAAGAATATTGAGCAAGAAAGTGACCATATTTAAGGTTATAAGGTCATTCTCTACTCTATGGAAAATGGACTGCAAAGGGGTCTAAGATGTTATATCAGTAGACAAGTACACAAGGCCAGATACTCTGGCCAGGGTTGTAGCAGTAGAGACAGAATCAAGATATATTTTGGAAGTAAGAATAACAAATACTTTGCTAATAGATTCAATGTGTGGAATAAAGGAAGAGGAGGAGTTGGGAAGGAGGATGACTCCCAGGTTTTTGAGTAAATGGGTGGAACCTTCATACGATACGCTGAGCAGATTCCTATGCCACTGACACACAAGCCAGAATTTCCAGGGATGGTAGTCTACCACTCCCATTTGTGGCACTTTTAGGAGATGCCAACTTTCATATTATCCCTCCAGTCCAAGCTATTCACTGCAATTGCCCAATAAGCCTCTGGGTGGGTTGGCCCCACCCACATGACATCTCTTCATAAGCACTTGTGCCTTAGATGTGGTTTGGAATTATTTTGTCTGTTTTCCAGAGATGATCTCCAGGGTTTTGTTTTTGTGTGTGTGTTTGTATATGTTTATGTTCCCTTTGGCAGGATACAGTGTGATTCTTCAATCACAGGGCACAAAGAGTTCTCAGAGTTCTATAGTTCTGGAGGTGTCTGATGTCTTGGCCAATGTGTACAAATGGTCTGTTTTCCAGCACATTTCAATTCTAATTCACCTCATTACAGAATGACTATCACAAGAAGAGTCATTAAATTTTCTCTTGTCTTACTTCCCATAACTGTTGCTGCTCATAGGATAATTGTTCTTAATCCTTAACAAGGCCCTGTATGATCCGGTTCCTCCCTACTCCTCCAGGCTCATCATCTACTTTTACCCCAATTTCTTTCCACTGTAACTACTCTGAACTTCTCTCAGTTTATACATTCAACTTGCTCTCTTCTGCCTTGGCAATCCTGTAGAAGCTAATCACTATTTATAGAAAACATTTCCCCGATGGTAACCTAGCCAGTCCCCAATCATTCAGCTAAAATTTGAATAAATGACACTATGTCAGCCTTTTTCTGTGGCTCCCCAATACCCTTTCCCATCCCCTGAGATTGGATAGTCCTCCTTCTTAAATGCTCCGGAGGCTACCTGAACAGTTATTTTGCTAACTTACCATAAGTTAGTTAATTATCTATAGTACTAGTTTCATTATTACTTACTACTTATCATCTCTGGTTAACTATAAATGCTATGAGGACAGAGACTGCATCTGTCTGCCTTGGCTTTGTATATCCTCAGTGCCTGGCATGCAACATTTTCTCACTAAATATTTGTTGGTTCACATATTGATTTCAACAAATGAGATATATTTATACTTTAACTTTAGAAAGAACCATCATATACTTTTAGCAGCTCAGATTATTTTTAACTCTGACATTATGCATGGATTAAAAATCTGTATTCCAGTGCATCTGGTGGGCAATGTAATAGAGCTTCCCACATTTCCATATTGCTGCTTCTTCTTTTATTTCCAACAATTTCAAACTGAGGTTTATCTTCAAAAAAATTATTTTCAGGAAAATTATTTCTCTGTTTTGTTCTTCACCAGTTTTAAAATAGGGTTCTTTTCTACTTAAAGATTCCTTCCCTCATTCCTATTTCTTTTTCCCTTAATCAGGAGTACTTTCTCTGGACTTTATTTTGAAAATTCTTCTACAGTCAAATATTGTCAATTCTTAAACACTGTCCCCCCACTTCAAAAGAACAAATAGGAGCATTCTCTACAAACTACCCACCCATTCTGTGTTTTTTGTCAGTTCCCTAGATGAAAGTTAACTACCTCTATCTTCAGATTGTAAAATTTCTCTAGCTGGGAGGTTTTTGCTCTGTGTACTTTTATGACATTTGTAAGCATTAATGATATGCTACAGCATTGTGTAGAGTACTATAACAGAGAACTACATATTAGGGAAAAATTAAGGCCATCAAGGCTGTCATCAGGCCTTAGGAGAACTGCTGATATCTCAAATGTGTTTGGGATTTCTATAAAATTTGGTTTGGCATTTATACTGAGTTCCAAATAGTTTTTATCTCTCTCATCTTATGATTACCCCAATTATTGTACTCTGGTTTTCCATTTTGCAGAAGAAATCAGCAAAAAGAAATTTCTACATCAGGTCGGAAGTGGTAAAACCAAAATTAGTCTTTTTGCTTTTTCAGTTTAAAAAGTGAATGAATAGAAATACCTTTAGCTGCTCAATCTTCCCAAATGGTTGAAATGATTAAAATGGAAATGTCAACTAATACCTCAAAAGAGAAAAAGCTAAAAGATGTTGATTTTCTAAAAGGCTAGAAACTGATAAGTCCTGTGGCTCTTTTGGTATAATGCTCCCATGCTCACAACATTCCTGGAGAAGAGAAATTATCTCTAAGCAGAAGGTAAGAAGATAGGTGCGGTAAAGTAGGTAAATTGCTTCAGGTCTTCTGGTTGGAGAACTATGGGTATGAGAGATAAATCTATATCTGAATGTTTCATCATTTGTGCTGTTACTAAGACATGGATAATTCAGACCAGGTATCTGCCTTCATGGAGCTTAGATTCTGGTAGAGGATGGGGCTGTAAACCAATACAAACCAAACCATTAACAAGATGACTTGAGAGATCTAGGGGCTGGAAAAGTATCCAATGGGACAAAGCAAAGAAGAGCAAGCTGATGTAGGTAGTAGGGCTGAGGGGGTACTACCTCATGATCAATAAAAATTATTTTTAGATTTCTTTGTTACAGAAAAATTCAAATATAAAAGTAGAGAGAACAGGAAAATGAACTCTCATGTGACTATAGCCTCCTTCAGCAATGTCAACTTATGGTCAATCTTATCTCCTCTCTGTCTCCACCAATTCTGCCTGATTATTTCATTTATAAATACTTTATCATGTATTTCCAAAAGACAACCTTTTTTTTTCTTTTTATACAAACACCACCACCATTATCACATCTGGACAGAACTTAATAATTTATGATTTGATTTTAGAATTTACATTTGAGGGAAGGTCTATTGGAGGAGGTACAACTTGATGAGATCCAAGTGAAAGAAGGAGTGAGCCTTGACAAGATATGGGGATGGTACCAAACTTGTATTTTTTGGTGTTTGTTTTTTATACAAATTCAAAATTTTATAGCTAGAGGGAAAAATAATTGATTCCTCAAAATCAGTTGTTGTTATTCTTTGTCAAACATGATGCTCACAGAACATTTTTGACAAAGGAACAAAAGATCTATATATATTTTTGGTGCAAGGTTTGTTGGCTTTTTGTCTTTTTTTCCCTGTCTTCAGGTGACAGATAGACATAGCTGAATCAATGAAGGACAATACTTGCCTAAAATGTGCAACATAAATATAGAAATCCTATGAACAGAAGATTCAAAACCAGTACTGGAACAAAACCAGCTCTGAGCTCTGGTGAATCTTCGGTGTAGAAGGCCACATCTGAACGACAACAAAGTCTTTCAGCTGCTTCCTTGTTCCATAGCTGGCCAGACTACAGATCTTGCTGGCTGGCTTTTTCATTATTCCTCCTTTGAAGATCTCTTTAACCACACCTTTCTGGAACCGAGGGACAAGAAATACTCTTTAAAAACCGTTGGATTACCACGTTGAGAAGCATCTTTGTGCTTTCTTCTTCTTTTTCTGGATGAAGATCAGCCAAACACAGAAGCAGCATTAATGTTCCTTTGCTGGCAGTTCCATCCAACCTCCCAGGGGAAGGCATTTTGCCAAGTTCTTCTCTGCCCATTTGAAATTCAAATCCCTGAATAAGCCTCAGTGCCACCTTTGTCCAGAAACCTCAAAAGCCCCAGTCCATGTCAATCTGCCTTGAAATTATAAAGGGACATATTACTGTGTAGGAAGATAAGCTGTGTTGAAATAACATCCAGGGCGGTTGTTAAATAAATTCAGGAAAACCAAGACATTCACTGTTAAGCCGAGACTCTGTCCTCAACTCACCTCCCAGGCAAGAAGTGGGCAGAGAAGCCCATGCTGGAGGTAGACACTCTTGAACTAATGACTTCAGTGGCTATTTGACTTAAAAATAATGTAACTTGCCAACTTCTAGAAGCTTATGAGCTGTTGTTTCAGACATCTCCACAGGTGTGATTAAAGCTTCAGCTTAAGAAAATTTTAGTTAAGATGGGAGAAACTTGGGTCCATTTTCTAGCTCAGAGATTCTGTTGCTGTGTGGCCTCGGCATGTTCATTCAGGACGATCCCGAACTTTATTTTCCCTATTCACAAAATGGGACCATTCAGATTGGATTATACAGTTGTTTTTAGGATAAAATAAGCATGGGAAGATAGTTTCAGAAGTAAAAGGTCCAACATAATGTAAGGGTTAAAGATCAGATATACACTAAGAAGCCATGTGGCTACACTTTCTGACTGCTAAGGGATTTGTTTAAAGCCTGTGGCCCATTTGATTTTGAAGGCATTTACCAGGCACCTACTCTGTATTAGCATGTTTTCCCTGGTGCCATAAAAACGTGTCGGTGTAGGGGTGTGGGGGTGTGGGGGTGGGGAGACAAGAAAAACACAAACAAAATGATGAAACAGCAATACATTGCACCATGAATCCTTGAGCAAGGTTAACCTCTCCAAGCCTGAGTTTCCTTATTAATTAAATTTCTCTGACAGAGAAACCCCCATAATTTTATCTACTTTAAAAAAGACTTTAAATTTTTTCTTCCTCAATAAAGGCAGTAAAATTCTGATTTTTTCCCCATCAGATTTAAGAAGAGTGGATTTTTTTTTTCTGCTGATAATAAGAACCATGAAGGTTGGTGAAAAGGAATTGCTGTGTAAGATTAACAGGGCAGCAGTTTTAGGAAGGAATGGAAGGAGGAAGGGCAGTAGATAGGAGGCCTCAGACACTATTTTGATGATTCCCAAGACAGAGGCATGGAATTATGATTGAAAAGGATGATGAATGATGGAGTCAGGTCTCAGGGGACAGAAGGGCAAAGACCAAGAATGTAGGACTTGGTGGCATACATCTACTACCCTTTCTGTAGACGAGGGTGGTAGGCACCATCCGATCATGGAGGTCTTTCCCACTGAGCAAGTGCAGCAGACGTCATGGCCTCTGACTCACACTTAGTACATGTCATGTACTCTCTTTAGAGATGGAGAAGTTAGTCTCAGAAGGGAGGAGCATGACTTTTCTGGAAGCAGGTGCTAACAAAAAGACAGAGGTTGAATGAGTGTTCTCAAGATGAAAACAGCTGGATAATCTCAACTGCCTGTTCCATATTGGAATCTGGCTTAGGACTTGAGCTCACAGGATAAAAATGATGAGGGGACAGGAGGGAGTGAGGAACAGAGAGAAGGTTTGGATCAGTCTGCAGTATATCAATGACAAAGATATTTTGAGCAATTATTATAACTAGGCACTGCATTGGGTGTTTTGCATGTCTTTTCTCATTTAATCCTTCCAATGACTTGGTGATATTAGTCATGTTATTATCTCCATTGTCTAGACGAGGAAACTGAAGTTAAGTAGCCAAAATTATTTAGCTAGTAAGTGGCAAAACTAAGATTTGAGCCACATTGTATGATCCTGGAGCCCAAGTATGGAGCTCAACTGAGGATTTTGAATATGTTAAGGAAACAAGAAGCGGATAAAACCCAATGAAGGAGAAAAAGCAAATGCAATGGATGTTGCATTTGTACCCAGGGCTTCATATTTATTTAGTCTCAAAAATATGTTTTTATGGTAAATAAAACTGGAAAAGTGAAACCACTTCTTTGATACAAACTATGGACACAGTTTTGATGGTTGGCTGTGTTTGATAAGGAAGAATACTTCTCTGTGTATCTAAAGGAGAGCTGATTATAAGTATTGCAATGGAAAGTTGTCTCTTCAGAGAAAGAGAGACAGAGAGAGAAAGAGCACATGAGCAGGGGGAGGGGCAGAGAGAGAGAGAGAATCCCAACTCTCTCTCTCTCTCTCTCAAGCAGGGCTTGAACTCACAAACCATGAGATCATGACCTAAGCGGAGATCAACAGACGCCTAACTCAATGAGCCACCCCAGCACCCCCAAAAGTTGTCTTCTCAACAATGTCCTCCTTAAAGTTATCTGTTGATTGTGGACAAACGGTGATATAGAGTGCTTATAGAGTCCATCTGTGTGTGCATCTGTGGAAACCTACCTGTGTTACATTGTCTAGTCATTCTGCTAAAAACAGCTGGACATGACATGAAGGATTATCTAACCACAAAGCAGCTAAGCAATTACCTAGAGTGGTTTGGTTGTCATATCATATTCCTTTGATTCCTTCCTATTTTTGGCTTTCAACTTTCATTCCAATGAACCATTTAGTGGGGCTCGTAGTGGAGCTTATTTATTCCTATAAAATAGGAGGACTTTATCACCAGATGTGATATTGTAATGTTATAAATGTGTCAGATGTCCAAAAGAAACACACCACTGGTGCAATATCACTCTGCACCCATATGTCTGTTAAATAAGACCATCTTCTGTTGGATGGTGGCTTTCAAAAACATTCCCTTTCTCATTCAACAGTGCAGAGCATCCATGCAGTCAGATGTTTATTTATTATACAATTCATGCCTCTGAGGAGTCACTCTTTGTTTCATGTTTCTTATCAGTGTCAATTGTAATCAATTACTTCTATAAAACTATAGAACACCTAATTTATGACATGATGACACACAGTAGATACAGCATTTCTATCTAGAATTGAACTGAACCCCTGCATGACTTTTCTGCCAGAGCCAGGAAAGGGCTCTGGGGACAGAACCAAGATGAATAAAGCATATTTTCTTTTTCTTAGCCCCCTTTCCTAAGAAGTTCAACTTTTAGAAATAACATTGGCTAGCCAATGAAAACACTCCTTTGATAAAGGCTAAGAATTTAAGATAAAAAACAGCTGGGCAGGTTTTTTTTATATGAAAGGAAACAACTTTGAACTACATAGACAATGTCATTTAAACCCAAACAGATGTGGTTTAATCTTGTTTTTGATCCTCTTGTAGATTTTTCTCAAAATGCCTGCATATGCATAGAAATGATGACTTTCAGATGTTTGAACATAATTTGTCTCTGTTAGAATATCACCTTGGTACATAGATCATGTACACCAAATACTCCCAGTCTTTGAACACGGACAGCAGGGTACCAGGGAGAATTTATGTGGGTCTTTTGGTTTTGCCCACCAATTTGGTAATAAACTAAAAGGGGAAGGAAAAAAAAGCAATGGTATCCACATACTGTCATTTTCAAAACAAGAGTCACATGTGTTCTCCATGACTTCAGTAAATCATGGCGATAGTTTTAGATCCTAACACTCAGAAAAGCTTTCAAGATGAATCCCATCACGTGAATGCTCTAAAAATAACACACTGTTGATTTGTGGACCATTTCGTGTCCTCATTGATTATTACCCACGTATCATATGATATCCTCATGTATTAAGGTTTTCCCATCCCATTGCTGGAAAAAGAAACCACTGGAGCAAAAACTATGTTAAAATATACAATGTCATCAGTCAGACTGTCAAGGAACCCACTAAAATATACTCAAACCCACTTTCAACTTCAAAGGCTATTAAAGTTGTTACCGCAGGCGTTAGCCCAAAGATTGAAGGAAGGGTTGTGCAGATAGAAATTTTATACATTTTTCTCCCTTTTCTTCTTCCTCCCTTTCTCCATTTGAATGAATATAATGGTGAAGCGGTGGGGATAGTCTGTGAAACACGTGGAGAGACTAAATATCATGAGAAGGAATCAGAAACAAAGAGAACTCTGGGGACAGAAGGCACTGGGTAATTAACACCCAGCTCTAGCAAATGACCTTGAGCAAGAACAGGGACACCACTGCTCCTATTTAAAAGCCTTGCCTTCAAGGTGTCTCCTCCTTGCTGTCTACAATTGTCTCCACAGTCACAGCCCTTGAAGGTATTTAAAAAACCACATCTGGACCAACAGAAAATGAGATGCCCATATTTATTTGAAAAATTCTGAAAGGATCATTGAGTGTGTGTGTGTGTGTGTGTGTGTGTGTGTGTGTATGTGTATGGCACGTGGGGGGGGGAGTGAACAAAGGGGTAGATGGAGATGAGGTGCACTAATGGCACTGATGGGCTTATGCTTGATCATTGGGAAACCAGCCCCATAACTCCAATCAAAACACAAAAGAAGGGTCCAACTTTTAAGCAAACAGTTTCTAGAACCCTGTTGGTTCTTTGGCAGCAAAGTGTTGTTCTGTGTAATGTCTCTCCCCATCAAAACCCGTCTCAGGGCATAAGTGCAATGTGAGGTCATTTGGAGCCACAAGCTAATCTACAAGAATCATCTGGCATCATATGCAAATGCTTATTATTTAAAAAATGCAGTTCTGTTTATACTGTTGGAGTCTCTAAGTCCTCTTCATTATCCATTCATGCTGTCTGTCTGGATGTGTTTTCTGATATTTGTGTGAGGACGTTGCCTCTGCTCAATGTGACTCAGGGAGAAAATATTAGGCTCCGATGCCCTATGTTGTCATGATTCCCATGCCAGGGGCTTCAGGAATGATGTTTCCCACCAATAATTACAGTAGCTGCCAAGGGATGGAGGAGGCAGGCACTGGCCCAATTACAGAGCAGCTAGTGAGAGTTCCAGAGGCTTTGTGGAAATTCAACTGACTCCTGGGGCAGTGGGGAAAGGGCGGGGAACTAGAAGAGGCATGGGGAAGAAGCATGCCTCCTGCATCAAAGATGCTTGGATCCTGAGCCAGGAGAGGAGGGAAGTCAAGGAGGCTGCATCCACTCTGGTGAATAGTTTTAGGAGTGAAACATGGAAAAGGAAGAATGGAAGGGATACATGTGACACACTAGGGGGGAGACAACTAGATGGAGAAAAGTCACTGGACAAGGGGGCCACAGAACTGGGTTCTAGCACTACAATTCATTC